AAAGGGCAGCATCTACCCTAGCAGGTGGTATCTGTCCTGGGCACATTTTGGTCCTTACATCTCTGGAGGGAAAAAAAGAAGAAAGGGCGGGAGAGCGATCCAGAGGACACACAGAGCAAGCCGGTATCAAAGAAGAAATGAAATTAACCTAAGGTTGCTTCTAGCCATTTTGTTTTCTTCTCCTCTGTCTGGGACGTCAGCTGGTCCCCAATCCTCTTGTCCCCAGTAGATGTGCATTTCTGGAATTAAAGTGGCAAAAGAATAAAGAAAAAAACAGGCTCTGGACAAAAGGAGAATGGGCTTTTGGGGTAGAAACTTGCCATGAACAGTAAATCCAGGGTTTCATGCCTTCTGTCTGTTTGAATCCCTCCAACACATGTTAGAGGTTGACTGAAAAAGCCAAGTCTAGGTGATATCACAACTCACATTTCCCACGGACGCATTGATAGTTTGCCTGCCTGGAGGTCTTACTTGCCTTTTTATTTGCACCCAATGAGATTTCTCCACATTAGAGATGCTCCACCATCTGTTACGCAGTTGTACCGTTCTGCGTCACCATACTGTGGGTCATTATGAAATGTCTTTGGAAATGAGAAGTCCCTAGCCAGAAAGGGAAGTGCTCCCTCTGGGGTAATGCCGCTAGTTACTCTGCAGTACGTATGCATTGCCTGGGAGTGGCCTTAGCACGACTCTCTTCTCACTTTCGCTCCAAGGACACCAGATAGTCGGGCCATCAGGTTGAAAGGGTGACTTTCTTCCTTCTTCAATCTTGGCTTCTAATTAAAATTTACAGTCAACTGTAGTTATGTTATACTTTAGAAGTGTTCAGAAGTGCTAACATTAAAAATATAAATATAATCATTACATACCTTATGAGCTATTAGCTTCATAGATAATCCATTATCTTTAATAATTCCAACCATGGTAAAATGTGCCATGCGGTTAGCGCAATTAGCTCCCTTTTTTTTAATCTTGTGTTTGTGGATTCTTAAAAGACTGAATTTTCACCTTGGACCTATGGCCCCAAATGCTACCAAGATTTAGGCATGAGATTTTTATTCCTTGTCCAATTTCACTGGTCCTGAAACAGTCCATGCTCATGTTTTCCTATCTGATATTGGCTAGCCCAGACCTCTTATTGGAACAGCTCTCCCTCCCTTTGGACCTAAGTACGTGTGATGGAAAAAGGAACACGGGGAAGAAAGGCCTGTGTGGAATGATGGATTATGATCATGTGGATTTCACAAGCTCCCTCTTCACTGAGTCACACAGACAAACACATAGGTAGCAAGCAAAAAAGCAGGTTTGCTATTAATGGAAAAAGGAGTTACTTGGCTGAACAGGGGCAGGTTATAATGGTAAAAACTAATGGGTCCAGGAGAATCGGCATGGCAATTTAAAAGTCACAGAAATTGATATTAGGATCAATATTTTTTCACTCTGTATGTAAATGACTGAGAACGCTGTCCCCGATGTAGTATCCACGTCCTGCCATTAATTCAGATTAGAGAAACCCAACTGGAGAAATATACTTCGGGCAGTGATCAGTTGGAAGAATAAAGGAATATAATTTCCCCCTTTCTATTAGAGGATCATACATTGGAATTAGAGAAGGGAATCGAAGAGAGTGAAAGAATATCCACCCATCACCCTCTCGAAGTGACCCAGAATCTGATCGTTATAAAACGTTTTGGGGTGTGTTAGACGTTTTTAGGACAAGTTCACAACCTACATGTGGATGGAGACCTGTCTTCAAAATCGTCTTCAGCATCCTCTGTGCTGTTTCATGGCCTCTTGCCAGCCAGGTCTTGTTGCCTTCTTTTCAGTTTTAGGTGGAAAAAAAAAAAAAAAGCCCCCCAAACTCCCTTTAGTTTAATGGAAACCACATCACAGACATAAAGAGAGACCTGATCGTGGGGAGGGGGAGGGGTGTAAGAAGCAAGGCCTCCGACAAGGTAACGGTCAAAAAATGGCCCCCAAATGCTAAACATTCCAAACGCAGGTGTCAGATACCAAGTGTTAAGGAACAGGTAATTCACCACTTTTCACAGAGAACTTTTTCGCTCCTATATAGGCCACAGTGCCTCATGTGAGGAAATGTTATTGAAGTTCCATCAAGAAGATGGACGCCTTCCAGAGGCAGAGCAGCACGAATCACAAAGGTCCTGGAAGGTGCGCCCATCTGGAAAGGTCCTGGAGGTTAACTTGAAAGACCTGAGAGCGCGGAGTCACAAGAATGGAAAGAGAGAAAGGCTGGAGCCAAACATAAAAAGAGAGATTGTGCTCTCCAAAAGAAAAAAAGTTCGAAGAGAATATGATTGAAGCTTGGAAGATGCTAAAGTGCAGAGTGAGGCTATATATAGATAAGCTCTTTCAATTAATGCTAAACCCCAGGATTCTGGGGTTTAGACTTAAAATGTTGGCACGGCAGGCCAAGTGTAGAGTCGGAGCCAAACTTTTACACAGAAGAGGTGGTGAACTTAGAGAAAAGGATGGAAGTCATGGAGAGGGTGGGGGGCCGCTGCGTACAGCACTCCCTCCCAGGAGTGGCCCTCAGGCTGGCGCTCCCCTGGGGCTTCATGCCTCCCTCTTTTGTAACGGGGATATTTGGACCTTAGGGTAACCTTGAAAGCCCCAGGTTCCATTTAAGGTGGAATTCAACCTCGAATAGAAAAGATGAAAGACGTGGCCCAGAAAACTAGTCACGTGTTTACCAAAGGACCTGTTACATGGCAGTAAATGTTCATCGGCGCCTACTGTGTGCAAGGCCTTGTGTTTAGTGCTGAGAACTAGAGATGAACAGGCCATGTTCTGGGCACCACAAGGAGAGAAAGCATTGAATGTCGTTAAAGGGAGGACTGCCCAAGTCGTTTAGAAACGTCCAGCTGGCCTGGGGTCGTCGGTGTCCACTTGGTGTACGTGCGCGTTGTCTCTTTCGGAGCAGACGCCCAGGAGGCCTCGTGAGCAGAGGATCCTGTGCCGTTCGTATAACAAAAATGAAGTGAGGGCTTCCCTGGTGGCGCAGTGGTTGAGAGTCCTCCTGCCGATGCAGGGGACGCCGGTTCGTGCTCCGGTCCGGGAAGATCCCACATGCCGCGAAGCGGCTGGACCCGTGAGCCATGGCCGCTGAGCCTGTGCATCAGGAGCGTGTGCTCCGCAACGGGAAGGGCCACAGCAGTGAGAGGCCGGCGACCGCAAAAAAAAAAAAAAGTGAAGTGAGAGAGTTTTGGGGCACCCCAAGGTCGTGCGATGGTGGGAGTCTGAGGGGTTTCCTTTCAGCAGTGCACCTCCCCAATAGGCCCTTTCCCCTTTCTCTTCAGTTTTAGTCTTCCTTCCTCTTTCTTCTCCCTATAGGGAGTTGAGGGCAAGGTTAGCCTAAGTTTTACTCGGTCAGCTTTTCTGAGGGTTCTCTGTTAAATCCAAGGGCACGCAGTTTGCAGCTTCCTGTTGGCATAACTGAGGCAGTGGTCATGCAGCCGCTGGTCCTCACTGTCCCCCTCAGTGTCACACTGTTTGGTGCCAGGTCCTGAAGACGCAGCCGGCCCCTACCTGATGGAACTGTTCAATCCATCCAATTGACACGAATGAGCGACTGCTAGCCTGACCCCTCATGGGAGGTGTGTGTGTGTACATGTGTCCTGTGTACAACACACACACACACACGTATGTTTTGAATTTTGTGGTAACTCGAAGTTTGTTTATTTCTTTGAACACCATTTCTTCAACTGTACGTGTTATTGCTTGTGAGGTAGACTTCTGAGGAATAAGTTATTTATAAAATATTGGCTGTAAATCGCCTCGTACAGTGCCTGGTGTGGGGTGGGGACTGAGTGAAGCATGTAGGTAGTGTATAGTAGGTGTGGGAGAAGATGAAGATGAGAAAAGAGCACACAGTAATGGGCTCTTGATTTTGTAAAACCTGTGTCTAATAGGAAGGGCTGTTTGAAACCTTCTGATGCTTCCTTCTCAGTGAGTTAGCTAGAAAATATTATACACAATTTACACCTGCATTATGTGGGGGAAAAGAAGGACATGACAGCATGAGATGGGATGGGTAGTCAGTAAAAGCCAATGATCTCTGGCAAAAGAGGGTAAAATTCGGTAAAACAAATATTTGCAACTCAATCCGATTTTAGAGGGTCTCCTATCGATTCTAAGCCTATGTAGTTATTCAGAATTCTGGATCCTAACATGCCCGGTCTTGAGGACAGCAGACTCTTTCAGAATAATTCTATGTGTGATTATCTTGCTTTGGCCCCGATTCCCACGGACGTTCTATAGTAACTGCAGGCCTCACGTCATAACTGCTCGGTACATTGGCCTGTGTTTAATATTGTACTAGGCTTTCTGTGTTTGGGGGTTTTCAGGTTTGGTTTGGTTTTGTCTTTGGCACTCAGACCTTTCCGTATGATTGGTTCAAATTTGACGTTGCATCTAAACTACCATCAATAGGATGTTATTTTCAAACATTTATCCCAGTGCCTTCACTCTTTTTTACGCAGCCTGTCTTGTTTGCAGCTGCACTCGGTTTTGAAGATGGTTGATTGGCATTAGAGGGGCATTTTGTGACCAAAAGTGGAATAAAGTTGCCTGATTTTCATGGCAGGAACCTCTAGGCATCCTGGACTAACCATCCTCCAGGAGGTCATTTTCACACAGACGCTAGTTCTTAACCCACCCCCACCCACTACCCAGAATCACCACTTGTTTCGGAAGCCTGTATAGGGTAGCTCATTTCGCACATGACCCTTAATTACCACTAAGGTGATTATTAGAAGAGTCACCACTTTGAGAAGGAAATAGGTGTATTAGCTAATGTGAGCTTTCACGCACATTAACACCTCTCTCTAAAAAAATTATATTTCTGGGGCTTCCCTGGTGGCGCAGTGGTTGAGAGTCCGCCTGCCAATGCAGGGGACGCGGGTTCGTGCCCCGGTCCGGGAAGATCCCACATGCCGCGGAGCGGCTGGGCCCGTGAGCCATGGCCGCTGAGCCTGCGTGTCCGGAGCCTGTGCTCCACAACGGGAGAGGCCACAGCAGTAAGAGGCCCACGTACTGCAAAGAAAAAAAAAAATTATATTCCTAAGGCACCCCTTATGTGGGACCTACATTCTGTTGAGTAGAGAAGTATTGTAGTAATGGGTACCAATGCTGAACAGGTTTTCCTAGCATGTTATATAGTTCATGCAACCTAATCCAAGATGTTAGGCTCTTATTTTTCACTTTCTGTGTTGCTGCTTCAAGGTTCTCTACATCAGGTCGGTTGATGTTTGTTTAGTTGGGTGTTTGGTTTTTGCCGGTTGATGTTTGTGTGTATGAATTTTTTGAAAAGAATTCCAGGTTATTAAAGAGAGGATGAGAGCGGAACGGTTTGCATGAGTTATGAAAAAGCACTGCTTAGTTTATTCACTCTGCCGCTGTGCCGGGGAAGCACTTCCGTTAGGCTGGGAGGAAACAGAGCAACTGCGTTTCGCCTTTGAGACAGAATCAAGTCCCTGAGCGGCAGAACTGCAAGTAGGGCTTTTGTTGCTTTAATCCTCTGACACGTCCATGCGTTGTCCAGGCAGACGGGACCTTTGGAGGGTAAAGGACCATTGATCTCCCCGTTTCTTTTAGCATCAGCCACAACTTGTTCGTTTGGGGCAAGAATGCTAGTCAGCCCCGGGAAGGTTGAGGAGGACCATTCTCAGCACCCTCTGCCCCAGACATAGTCCCTAACCCACACTGTACCCGAAGCTGAGGAGAGAGTATGGCGGGGACTGTCGTCTCTGCCGGCCCCTGACTGAAGTCAGCATGTCCTGGGGCTGGTCTTAGAAGACAGCCACCATGTGGCTGCATAAGACAAAACCCAGTTTGGAAAAACGTTGCTTCCCAGTAGGGTAAAGGAGACGGCATCTGAGGCATGGGCCGAGGTGTGTTGTGAGGGGCTCGGCGGAGCCATAAACACGAATACACCTCTCAGAGCCGCTGCCATCCTCCCTGTCCCCTGTGCCACCCAGGAAGCAACCTGGTTCAGCAGGACAGGAAGATGCAATTCCCGTGCCCCGTCCACTCTCCTCTTGGCCGAGAGGCTGCTGACTGTGATGCTCTCTTTGTGGAGGGACCACCTGTCTAATGGGAACTGGATTGTGACCACCAGTTCATTTGACAGAGGCCGCCACACAGCTGCCAGATGGTGACAGTCCTTAGCTGTTTTGCAAGTCCAATGTGGGTCACGTTCCCCTCTGGAGGTAGACAACGGATGGTTCCCTCCACCCAGCCCACGTGCTTGCAAAAGGCCGGGCTTCCAAGAGCCAAGGCTTTGCTCTCATCTCCTTGAAGGTAGAAAAAGACTTAAGGAAATGTAATGAATAAAGACACATTTTTTTAATCGGCTTGCTGGGTTTTCCTCTCTTCCTAATTGTTCTCTAATCTGTACTTAGGAGCACGGTGTTGAAGTGGGACATGTCAGGCTTTTACGCCACAGATTCAAACTCCCAGGCAAATAAAACTGTGACAGCTTGAGAGGCAGGGAAGGCCTCCGGCCACTGGCAGAGTTCGATTATCCGACCTGGACTCGGGAGTAGTCGGGGGGCCTGCACGTAGCTTCAGGATGCCCTGCCGGGACGGCTCAGCAGATAGGAGGGGACCTGCCTCTCCGTGGCCTTCTCTTCACCTGCTGTATCAGCTGAAGAGCCGCACGAGGACCTGTACAACTACTGGTCAGACGGCCCTAGCAACACAAAATTCTGTGTCGACACATAGCCCATCACGTGTTTGCGATGAAAACGCTATATTTTTAGAACACTTCAAAGTGAGGAAACCGTTAGAGCCCTATCACATCCTCCCCTTGCCCTCCGGCCACTTCCTCTGCACCCCCCAGGAAAATCACCCCCACTTTCTAGAAGAGGAGCCAGAGACAGAGATTAAGTGCTACTTTGAGCAAAGCTGATGATGCCAGGGAAAATTGCTGATCTCGTCTTAAAAATCTAACACACGCTTTGGGGTTGTTTTTCTAAGGCTTCTTACTCCTTTTACCTACACCATGTGGGTTCCATATGACCTTGAATCTAAGCCTTAATATTGCATGTGGAGTTCAAAAGACAACTCGGTCTCCCATTTTCTTTCGTGGCATTTATTCAAATAATAATAGGCACATAATACTGTCTTGTAAAAATCAAAGCTCCAGGCACACTCTGAAAGTCTTTTAGAATTTCTAACACTTATTTCATAAGTGTCTTTCATGCAACTCGCTGAAACTGCTCGTTAGCAGACGATATCTTTTGTATCTCTGCAATTCCCGTGCCTAGCTCAGTGCCTGGCATGGGCTAGGCGATCAAAATTAGCTGTGGATTGGGTAAGTGAATATTACCTCCTTGGGGCCCCACGCTGACTTACCCATTTTTACAGAGTTACTGCTGAAAAGCAGAGAGAGGTCTTCATCCATCCCTAGAACATGTTTTGAGAGCCTTATGTGCTAGGCAGTGTGCAGTGTACCAGGGATACAAACACAAAAGGCATAGCCCATGCCCATGGGGTACTCAGAGTCTACAGAGGGGTGGTGTGGGTGCACAAAGGCTGTGTGTGTATGTGTGTAGTGGGGAGAGAGTCTATAATATTCTTCCTTTTTTCCCCTGAAAGCTCTCTGACCAATTAAAGTTAAGAATGACAGCAGTGTACAAATAGGGGGAGGGACTTCTGAGTTCTCCGACTCGTATGGCATCCTGCCAGGTACGTGCTCAAGACCAAGCCTTCAGCTAGGAAGGCCTGTCAGGTGTTGGGAAGAGCTGTGCCCACCATCAGCTCTCAGCACTGTTCCAGAACAAGAAGCATCCACTCTGTCCCCACTCATCCCCAAGTCATCTCTGTCCACACCCCCAAATTCACAGGGCTTGGGTGTTTCTTAGATGAGGCTATGTTTATTAGTCCATTTATGGTCCTCAGTCGTTTGGGGCCGGAAGGAAAGAAAAGTAGATCAAGTAAGTGAGAGCGTTTTGTAAATTTTCCAAGTCCACATGAACGTGAGGTGTGATGCTTAGGTGTGTGTATTAGGTGTGCTTTTCCTGGTTTAGGCTGATCGCCATGGAGTGTTTAGCTGTTGTGTACTCTTTGCCTGCAAGATAAAATGCCACCTTGCAGTCAAACGCTATGGAATTGGATGGTGGTAGAACAAAAAGACAGCGAGGTGCAGGGGTGAAGAACAGGCCTTGGCCATTAAGTGCCTACATTCTGACCCCCACACACACCTTTTTTCTTTGTGTCACCTGATGCCTCCATGCCCGTTTCCTTGTCTGCAAGATGAATAGGGCTGTTAGGCAGATGCAATGAGATCATACAGATAGAACACTAAGAACAACATCCAGCGCGCAGTAAGCTGTTGTTCTTCCCAGTCTACTCTGGATGAGAAAACTGAAGCACAGAGAGGTTAGGTGAGCATCACAGTTCAACATGGTCTCCCAGCAGCACCTGTGCATGCAGCCCACATTCAAAACAAACTGGCCTTTCAGTAAAAGCAGGATCGGTTCTCAGTAGTATTGACCATAGTAGCAACAACAACTAGTATTTATGCAGAGTACTTGATATGTACCAGCTCCTACACTAAGGGCTTAATATACAGTATCTTGTTTTAACATATATTCTCCCAACAGTCTCTTGAGGCAAGTACTATTTATTGAGCCCATTTTATAGCAAAGAAACCTAAACTTACAAAACAAACACATGTAAATAAGTGGCAGACAGGGAATTGAAACCTAAGTAGTTTGTCTTTAGAGTCCATGCTCCTAACCATTACACTGCCCTGCTTCCTGGGTTCCTCCAGCACTCTGGATGTGCCTCTATTCTTGGTACTTACAATTACTAAATTATAAATTGTAATTGAAATTACTAATTGAAATTGTGTTTTTTTCCCCCCAAAATGTGTACCCCCCTGGAGTGTGAGTTGACTTTGACAGCTCTGCATGCCTGCCATTTGGCAAAGTGTGTCGTATCCAGTGGGTGCTTAATAACGTTTGTTGAATGGTATTGAATTATTTCCTGAACACTCCTTGGATATCGGCTCCCATGCCTTGAGTCCTTCCCATTTCCTCTAACTAGAAGTATTATTTTTTCTTTTCCCAATTCCGATTGTTCATATTCTGGCCTTTCAAAGTCTAGTGCAAATACCATTCCATCCATAAAGGCTTCTTCTGGACACCCCATCAAAGAGTAATGTCCACTCCACTGAAATTCGCATGGCATTGTGGCCCCCTCTCCCCATGTGCATTGCTTTCTGTGTCATGCTGCAGTAGGGTTTGCACTGGTCTTAACAGAACTTGAAGCTTCTGGAAGTCGGGAGTTATTCAAGTCAACTGGTATACCTCATAGACCCTCATAGAACTTAATACAGTGCCTTAAAACCGTAATGAACACTGGTTGAGTGACTGAGTGCAAAACGTTCAAGAGAAAGGGATATTTTCCCCACCAGGTGATTCTACCCTTTTTGCTTCTTTTTCTTTTCATGGCACATTGAAGTAGAGTGCCCCATCACATTCCCAGTTTTGAATCAGCTGGTGGGCAGTCTATGGAGCGTGAAAAAATATTGTTTCAACTGGAGCAATGGAAGGAAGAGAATCATTTTAGGGTGTCACTGTAGTGTGAAAAGCTTTGACATTTGAAATAAAAAAAGGAAGGAGAAAAACAGTTCACTGTGTAGTTGGGGTCTCTTGCCAGCAAAGACTTGGGCACGCTCTCCAGGCACGGCGGCGTGCTCACCTGAAACCCCGCCAGACTTACAGATGTTTCCTTTGGCTCTGGTGTGATGAGCCACAGCGCAGTTCTCAGGAACAGTTCCATTCTGGCAGGGATGGATGTAACAGGGAGTGGGGCAGCAAGCAGAGGAATGACTTCATAGGTCTCCTCCGTTCCGAGTCTCTTAGATCCTGTGGTGTGCATTGCCATTTCCCTTTGAGTGTTCATACATCACTTTATTCACTTAGTGCCAACACATACACAACCTTTTTATGAGGCTATGAAAGCTCCACTTAGCTGAGCACATTTTTGGAACTCTGATAAGTTTTACCTCTGGTTGTGATCCTAGAAATTCCCCAAAGGTCACACATAGGTGAATGGAACTCTTCCAGACTTGGGTTTTCTTCCTTCAAGATTATGACACAGAAGAAAATGTATCCACCCAAGGGGAATGAGGGAGGAGTACGAAGTGGAAGAAAGGGTGGAGAGTCCAAAGACTGTGTTTCTTGCCTCATTTCTACTCCCGGGTCTTAAACTGCCCCTTGGAATGAGATGATCTGGCAGCATACGGCATGTGCAAAATGTGAATTCACCCACTCTTCTTTGGTAATCCGTTGCCTGTTAATGGTGCCATCTTCCTTCCTCTCAGCTGGTCTCCAGATCTTCACCTTCACATCCAAATCTTGTGAATTTGAGTCTTTTGTGTTCTCAGAGCTATTCTCTCCATTCCTACTACCACTGCTACTTGTACTGCTCTCTTAGGATATCGCAAGTAACCTCTCAATGGTCTTTTCTTCTTAACAGCTTTGTTGAGGCACAATTAATATACAATAAAGTTCACATACCGGAAGTGTAAAATTTGATCAGTTTTAACGTAGGTATACACCTGTGAAACCATCACCACAATCAAAATAACAAACATATCCATCACCCCTAAAAATGTACGCATCTTCCTTAGAAATCCCATCCTCCCTGCCCTGCCCTCCACCACTGATCTGCCTTCTGTCACTGTAACTTTCCATTTCCTACAATCTTATGTAATTGCAGTCATACAGCGTGTGCCTTTTTTTGGGGGGGGGGGGGCGACGGGGCTGGCTTCTTTCACTCTGCATAATGATATCAAGATTTAATATCAGCAGTTCACTTACATCAGTAATGCACTCCTGTTAATTGCTAAGTAGCATTCCTTTGAACGAATATACTGCAGTGTTTCAGTTCTCCTGTTCGTGGGCGTCTGGGTGGTTTCCAGTTTTTGATGATTAACAAATGAAGCTGTTATGAACATTCATGTTACAAGTGTTTGTATGCTTTTGTTTCTCCTGGCCAAACATCTAGGAGTGGAGCGGCTGAAGCTAATGGTAGGAGTATATTTAACTTTTTAAGAAACTGCCGATGTGTTTTCTACAGCAGTTGTACCATTTTACAATCCCACCAGCAGTGTAGGAGTTTCAGTTCCTCCACATCCTCGCCAACACTTGGTATAATCACGGTATCTAATTTTAACCATTCTAATAGGTGTAATGATGTATGTCATTGTGGTTTTAATTTTCATATAACTAAAGATGCTAAGCATATTTTTATGAGCTTATTTGACACCTGTATATCTTCTTTGAACTGTTTGAATCTTTTCCCAATCTTGAATTGGGCTGTTTCCTTACTGTTGAGTTTTGAGACTACAAGTCCTTTTATCAGATCAATGTTTTGTGCATATTTGCTGCCAGTCTGTGTCATGTCTTTTCATTCTCTTAATAGTATCTTTTTAAGAGCCAAAGTTTTTCATTTTGGTGAAGTTTGTTATTAATTTGTTCTTTTACTGATTGTGCTCTTGGTTTTGTATCAAGGAAAACCTAACTCACAGTCACAAAAAAAGCGATAGTTTACTTCCTTTCTAATGTAGGCACTTTTTTTTTTTCTTGCCTGCTTGCTCTGGCTAAAATCTCCAGGTCAGAGTTGAATAGAAGTAGTGAGAGTGGACATCACCATCGTGTTGTTGATCTTAGAAGAAAATCATTCTGTCTTTTACCATTAAGTATGGTGTAAGCTGTAGGTTTTTCATAGATGCCCTTTATCAAGTTGAGAACATTCCCTTCTCTTCCTGTTTTGCTGAAAATGATTATGGAGAATGGATGTTGGGCTTTGTCAGTTGCTTTTTCCCCATCTGTCGAGGTGATCATATGGTTTTCTTTTTTAGTTTGTAAGTATTGTGAATCACATTGGTTGATTTTCAGTGTTCAACCAGCCTTGCATTGCTAGGAGATAAACTCAACTTTATCATAAGGTACAATCCTTGTGTTCACTGGATTCTGTTTGCTCAAATTTTATTCAGAATGTGTACAACTGTATTCAGAAGGAAGATTGTTTTGTAGTTTTCTTCTAATTTCTTTAGCTGATTTTGGTTTAATGTAATCCTGACCTCATGAGTGAGTTAGAAAGTATTCCCTCCTCTTCAGTTTCCTGGAAATGTTAGTTAAGTTGTATTATTATTTTCTTAAGTGTTTGGTAGAATCCATCACCTAAGTCATCTGGAGCTCAAGTTTTTTTTCTGAGAAAAAGAAGGTTTTTAAGCACAAATTCATTTTCCTCAGTATGTATAAACCTGTATGTACTAAATATATATATATATATTTTTTTACATATAAATGTACCTACAGGTCTATTTAGGTTGTATATTCTTGAGTTTCTCTCCTTTAGAGAATGTCTGTTTCATCTAAGTTGTCCAATTTATTTGCACAAAGCTGTGTATAATATTACTTTATCCTTTTACTGTCTGTAGACTATAGTGATGTCATCGCTCTCATTTCTGATATTAATAATTTGTGCTTTATCTCTCTCTTTTCTTCATATGCCTTGAAAGTGTCTCAGTTTTATTTGTCTGCTCCAAGAAGTAGCTTTGGTTTTATTGATTTTCTTCGTTGCTTTTGTTTTCTCTATCTTATTGATTTTCACTGATTTTTATTTTCTTCTATTACCTACTTTGGGTTTAATTTGCTCTCATTTTTCTAGTTTTTAAAGGTGGAAGCTGAGGTCATTGATTTGAAATCTTTCTTTTCTAATGAGCATATTTACTGGTATACAGTTAACCTAAGTACTGCCTTACCTACATCTCACAAGTTTTGATATGCTGTGGTTTCATTTTCATTCCATTCAAAATACTTTCTAATTTCTTTAGATTTCTTCTTTGACCTGTGGTTATTCAAAGTGTGTTATATGGTTTCTAAATATCCGAGAATTTTACAGAGATTATTCTATTATTGATTTCTAATTTAATTTTATTTTGGTTAGGGAACATAACATACCTTGAATGGCTTGCAGACTTACAAATTTATTGAGACTTGTTTGCCCCATAATATGGCCTATCTTGGTAAATATTCCATGTGCACTTGAAAAGAATATGTCTAATGTTGTTCTTGGACCGAGTGTTCTACAAATGTCAGTTTGGTTGATGGTGTTGTGCAGAAGTACCCTTACTGATTTTCTGTGTATACTGTCAGTCAGGCTTTTGAAATCACCAAACATTATGGTGGAGTTTTCTACTTCTCCTTGCAATTCTGTCAGTTTTTGCTTCATGAATTTTGCAGTTCTGTTATTTGGTGCATAAATGTTTCGAATTTTTAATGTCCTCTGGATAAATTGACTTATTATTTTGAAATGATCTTTATTTCTGGTATTATCCTTTGCTCTGAATCTATTTTGACTGATGTTAATAAAGCCACTCAAGTTTTCTTTTAACTAGTGTTATAAAGTGTATCTTTTTCCATTCTTTCACTTTTAACCTATCTGTGTTTGTATAATCTAAAGTGCATTTCTTATAGATAGCAGACAGTTGGGTCTTACTTCTTTTTTAATTACTGTGACAAGTTCTACCTTTTAATAGAAGTGTTTACATAATTAATATTTAATATGATTGTTGATAAAGTTGAGTGTAAATCTGTCATTTCACTGTTTACTTTTTATTTCTCTCATCTGTTCTTTATTCTCTTTTTCTGCCTCTTAAGATTATTTTTATTCTGTTTTATCTCTTTTATTGGCTTATTAACTATCAAACTCTGTTTTGGTATTTTAGGGGTTGTCTTAGGGTTTATAGTATATATCTTTACCTTATTACAATTTACCTTCAAATGATAGTGTAAAACTTCACATATAATTTGAGAATCTTGCAGTAGTATACATCCATTTTTTTCCCCTCCCACACTTTATGCTATTGTTGTCATAATTTTGGTTTTACATATGTGGTAAAGCCCACAATACATAGTTATAATTTTTGTTTAGGTGGTCCAGTTTCTTTTAAAGAGATTTAAGTAATAATAAAAAAAAATCCTACATATTTACCCATGTAGTTACTGTTTCTGGTGTTTTCCATTCCTTTGTGTAGACCCCTGTTTTCTTCTGGTAACATTTTCCTTCTGATGAAAGACTTCATTAACATTTCTTATAAGGTAGGTCATCTGTTGTATGTCTAAAAGCATTTATTTTGCCCTTGTCCTTGAAATATATTATCACGGGATATAGAATTCCATGTAGACAGATTTTTTTGTCTTTCAGTATTTTTTTAAATTATGTTTTCCAGCTCTATTGAGATTTAATTGACATATAACGTTGTATTAGTTTTAGGTGTAGTACATGGTGATTTGAAATATGTATACATTACAAAATGATTACCACAATAAGTTTAATTAACACACATCATTTTGTATAGTTATTATAGTTCTTTTTCTTGTAATGAGAGCTTTTAAGATTTACTTTTAGAAACTTTCAAGTATGCAATACAGTATTAACTAAGTATAGCCACCATGCTCTACATTACATCCCCAGAACTTATGACTGGAAGTTTACCTTTGACCCCCTTCACCAGTTTCACCCACCCTCCAGCCCCCGTCTCTGTCAACCACCAATCTGTTCTCTGTAGCTATGAGTTCATTTCTTTCATTATTTTAAAGATCCACTGTCTTCTCAACTTGTATTTTTCCTGATAAGAAATTTGACATCATCTTTACTACCTTTGTTTCTCCATATGTGAGTCTTTTTCCCTCAGTCTGCTTTTAAGATCGTCTCTTTGTTACTGGTTTTGAGCAACTTGATCATGAAGTGTGTTGATTTCGTTTTCTTCATATGTCTTGCACTTGGGCTTCATTGAGCTTCTTGGATTTGTGAACTATAAGTTTTCATTGAAATTGGAACTTTTCCAGCTCTTCCTTTGTTCAGATATTTCTCTGTCCCCTTTTTCTCTCCTCTCCTTTGAGGACTTCAGTTACTCACGTATTTGGCCACGTGAAGTTGTCCAGTAGCTCACTAATGTGCTTTTCTTCTTTTAAAATTCTTGCTTCTTGCCATGTTTCACTTTGAAACACAGTGCACTCACTAATCTTTTCTTCTACAGTGTTTAATCAGCCATTAATCCCATCCAGTCTCTCTCATCTGAGACATTATAGTTTTTTAATCTCTGTAAGTCCATTTTGGGTCTTCTTTATACCTTTCAAATCTTTACCTACCTTTTGGAACATACCAAATACAGGGATAGTAACTATTTTTAATGTCTTTTTTATTGACCCTGTCTGCTAAACCTAACATCTGTAGTAGTTCTAGGTTGGTTTATTATTCTTCTCTTTATTTATTTATTTATTTGGTTGTACCGGGTCTTAGTTGCGGCAGGCGGGCCCCTTAGTTGTAGCATGCGAACTCTTAGTTGCAGCATGCGAACTCTTAGTTGCAGCATGCGTGTGGGATCTAGTTCCCTGACCAGGGATTGAACCCTGGCTCCCTGCGTTGGGAGCATGGAGTCTTATCCACTGTACCACCAGAGAAGTCCCTAGGTTGGTTTAAATGAGTTGATTTTTCTCACTACAGACTGTGTTTTCCTTATTCTTTGCATGCCTGGAAATCTTTAAGTACCAAGATACTCAAACGTTATGAAATTCGTCTTGTTGGATGCTAGATATTTTCGCATTCCTTTAACATTTTTGAGCTTTGTTCTGCAGTGCAGTTAAGTTAGTTGAAAGCAATGTGATCCTTTTGAGTTTTGCTCTTTTGATGTATTAGGCAGGTCTGAAACAATACCCATCCTAGAGCTAATTATTTCCTACTTCGAAGGTAAGGCTTTCCTGATTTCTCTACCCAGTGTGCCATGAATTAGGAGTTTTTCTAGTCTGGCTGTTGGGAACAGCGCTGTTCTTAGCTTTTAATCATTTTGGATGGTTTTTCCATTTCTGGTCTTTGCTGGTTTCTTTTCCCGCGTAGACTGATAGGTACTATACTGAATACTCCAGGGACCCTCTGCAGCTATTGGGGTTCTCTCTGTGTACCTCCTTCCTCTCCATTACACTTCCTTGTGAATTCTAACTGACTTGCCTCCCCCGGACCCTCTCAGCTTAAAGCAGTTCAGGATGTCTACCACGTTCTACCTGGCTTTCCTCTCCCTGTAACATAGCCTGGAAACTCTTTAGGGACGTCAGCTGTTTTCAGCCTGGAAGGTCACCATCTAGACCAGAAGCAGAGGTCTGCTCCTCTGGATTATATTTTTTTATCCCTGATTCTTTTCTCAAAATGCCTTCCTTTGTATCCAGAGAAGTCCCGATACTGATTATGGTACATGAACATTTAATAGCACCATGTAGCCTAGTAAATAAAGCCCAGACTCCTTGGCCATATTTTTCATGTCTTATGGAAACCATTCTGTGTTTTTTCTATTTCCTTTCATAATTTCCATTCCTACAGATCTGTTCTTTATAAGGTGGAATCCCTGTACTCCCTGTCTTTCTCATAACAGCCTGCCTGCCTTCCAGACCTGCCATTTCCTACAAAGTTTTATCAAATTTCCAGGTTGAAAATAATCTCTTCTTTCTCCAAACTCCTATAAAGACTTATTTGTGCCTCTTTTATTCAACCTATCACCTTCTAATATGTAGTAGCTTATTTACATACATGTCTTATCTCCTCTGTCTGTAAATCCCTTGAGGAAAAGATTCCTGTCTCCTACAGATGCTCTTAGAAATAATACAATGTGTGCATTTTAAAGCGATCTGTAAATGTCCGTTAAACACACATTTATGGGGAATCTTGGGAATGAACACTGAACAGAGGTTGATGAAATTTTAACCCAATGATATAGAATATCTTAGGTAAAAATAACTGGGGAGATTGAATGTCTACCGAATGCTTCAATCCACTCTTAACTTAGCTGATATAACCTCTTCCTTCTCTGTGTGTCGGCCTACAAACAAGAGGTGCCCTTGTCCCTTTGAAAGAAGGACTCTGAAGCCAGGGATTTTTATATCACTATCTTTGTCTTCCCACAAGCCAGTACTGTACCTGGTTCAAGAAATAGCTGTTTAATCACAGCAGTAACTCCCAGTGGGAGGTCCTCCCCAGAGAATTAGTCTTTTAAAAAAAAATTCCACAAAGTAGACTGGACCCTGGATGTGGTACAGAGAGCTTTTGTCTTCCAAAATCTGTCTGAAATACTGTAAGCATTCAAGGAAAGAGAAAGCACAAAATTAAATTCTGACGCCCTGGGTTTTCTCTTTTTATAAAAATCCACTGAAATGATTCTACTTTTACGAGGCACTTAAGAGTAGTCAGATTCATAGAGACAGAAAGTGGGGTGGAAGTTGCCAAAAGCTGGGGGAAGGGAAAATGGGGAGTTTTGTGGGTGCAGAGTCTCATTTTGGAAGGATGGAAAAGTTCTGGAGGTGGATGGTGGTGATGTTTACACAGCATTGTGAATGTACTTAATGCCACAACCATATACTTAAAAATGGTTAAAATGGTAAAGTTTCAGTTACATATATTTTGCCACAATCTAAAAGAAAAAAAATATCCATTGGAGGTCCTGGTCATGTTTATGGAAGGATCATAGGTAAATCTGGGTTTAAATTCCAGTTCCAATACTTACTAGCTGTGTGAGGTTAGGTAAGCGGCTTGCCCTCTCTGAACCTGTTTTCTTATCTATAAATGGGGCCTAAAGTATTTAGAAAGTGCCTGGCCCAGCCTGTAACATAGTGGGCACTCACAAATGTTTGTCTTGTTCTTCCCTTTTCAGCATTCTAATGAATGTCTTCTTACTTTGAAATTCCTGCCCTGGCACAGGCTTGGAGAGTGAAGGGGGGGTAAGGGTAGTGGCTTTGGAAAAGGCAAAGTCCTCTGGACCAGGACTCTCCATGGGAACAGCTGCCAGCTGGCGGTCTCTGACCCGTCAGGGGGCACAGAACAGGGACAGCACCTCACAATCTCAAGTCACCAAACGTCTGGAGGAAATAAGAGCTCAGGGTAACCCTCTGCCTCCCCTTGTTTTTCATTTCAGTGTGGACTCCCCTGGGTATATACCCCCAAGCACCCTCATTTTCAAAGCTTAGATCGTTCCCAAATCATCAGACTTGGCTTCTTTTGTAAATAAAAAATAGTTATCTGATGTTTCGTTAGTGTTTAGACGTCTGATCAAAGCAATTATCCAAAGCCTGAATATAGAGAAATAAATCTCCAGTAAAAGAGGAAGGGGGCTCTGTTTCTGTTTCTCTGGTTTATATTATTCTCCCGCCCTCCCCTCACATGCAGATGTCCTGGCTCTGTGTCTCTTCAATCTCTCGCAAAACCGACAATCCGGGGAATTTTCCTGGGGAGGAGCAGAGTCATCGTCACTTGATGGGTTGTACTGTTTGCCCAGAAGAGCCAGTTAGTAGTGAGGGATTGTCATCAGCTCCTCTCCGGCCCCACGTGCCTTCATGTAAGCTCGTCCATCGCCTGTAAGGACCGGCTGTCCTGAGTGTACAGCTGTGCCCCCTTGGGCTGTGATCTTGTCAGAAATTCACTCACACTGAGTAGGGCACTGATCATGGTTTACGTGGGGCTCCAGCACAGCCCCCAAATGCCCAGCTCCAGGCACTGAGGAAGAGCCACCCCCTGAATGAGGACCCCTTAGTCCCGGCAGGGTTGGAGGTGAGATGCGGGTAGTTAGGAAGACCAGCCACACGGCTGGGTTATTCTAGCAGTGATGTAGGGCCCCAGCTGGTGTCGCTGCCCAGTGAGCCACTTCTCCCACGCTGAGGAGCCCAGGGGCGGAAGGTGTCGTCCCCATCCCCGCGGTCCTGCCCGGCCCTGCCATCTGCTGCGGCGGGCTGACCGTTGGAGGGGCGGCTGTGTCACCTGCTGATGCCCACAGACTAGATGTTGGGGGAGCCGGGATTCCACGGAAACCAACCACTCTGCTCTTGAACCTCTCTACCCCCATCACAACACCCCCATGACAGTCTCCTATACCCTGACAGGTGAGCCCTGTTATTTTGGAAAGGTGACTAAGAATTTTGACCCAACCGATGTAAAGATACTGTGATCATTCGTGACCTGCTTTGGTTTTGTGTTTCTTAACGTTGCTTCCAGCACCCAGTGCAGACCATTTTTGAGTGAGAATTAGGTGTTTCACTGCCCTAAGCACAAACACCCCCAAATTTTGAGCCTCTCACCGCGCTTGCAATGACTTTTCTGTGGAATATCATAATAGCCCTTCCCTGGGAGACCGTGGTCTTACAGTGGACTGGGAAAGGCGTCTCCACGCTTGGGATTCCAGGAAGCACTCGTGCTTCCCAGTTGGAACCCCCTGAGGCTCCTTCAGGGAGACAGGTGTCAAACATAAGGGTAAGGGAAAAAATGGTTTTGACGGACATGGCAGTTAACTTCAGCCTCGAAATCTTTCAGGGAAGGGTCTGCAGGAAATCACAGGTTTCTGTGAATGTGAAAAGAACAACTGGAAGGTTTCACAGTGGCAAGATAAGTGCCGTAATTATATTTAAATGAGTGCAGAAGAAAATTTCACCACAAACTGCATTAACTAAAGAAGGTTTTCGACACTGGGGTATAATTGAATTAACATTAGGGTCTGTGTTCGGGCTAGTGCCTCACTGGTTCTGCTTGGGCCTGGTGCCCCCTTCAGCAAAGCATTCCTGTTTGTTCCACTCCAGGACCGGGGTGGGGGTGTGGATCAAACCCCCCTAATGGTGAATTTTTAGCAGAAAAGATAACACCTTCTGAGGGTCTAATACGGTTTGTGCTGTGAGGAAAAAAAATGCAGGTTTAACAGAAAGAATATGATCTTGTCAGGCACTGTTTGATTTCACGTGTGTTTGTATTACTTCGCTGAGGGAATCACTTTTCCAAAAAAATGCTGTAACGCATGTGCTTCTGTGGGGCTTTACCGTTACAGATTTATAAAGTAGTAATTCCCAGTATGACCCTGGGAAGGAGGCTGTGAGGTATCTAGTCATCCTCATGTTGCGGATGAGAAGACTGAGGTTTGCTGTTGAAATAACGGTCACGTAGCTAGAGATGTGGGCCTTCGGGGGCTGGGCCCATCTTAAGGCTCTCATGTTGCTGCTTTTGCTGCCTTCGAAATGTTCACGTGGCTTTACTTTGAGCTTTCAAAAGTAAGGATTTTTAAATGGAGTTTTCATCTTGAAGTGAAAGCATGAGAAAATTGAAAAAAAGATTTTAGCATCTTTGTTGGAGTATAATTGCTTTACAGTGGTGTGTTAGTATCTGCTTTATAACAGAGTGAATCAGCTGTACATATGTGCCCATATCTCTTTCCTCTTGCATCTCAAAATTGAAAATTTTGAAATACGAAAAATCAGCCTTCCTTTGCCCAGTAACCCAAATATGTCTCCACCTTTGCATTCATCTAGCTCTTGAGAATCGTCAAGGTCTTTTCCTGCAAAGGGCATCCTGAGACATTCAGGATCTAAAAAACTGATCGTGGACAGGTAGGAAGGAAAGTAAAGCAAGCTGCGTTAAGAGAAACTGCCTGGATCCTTGAAATAAACTCTTCCTAACTGCCACCCCCGCCTTTTGTAATTATTAGCAAAGATCAACGACACCGTAATATATTATGCTGTTTTACTAGGAATATGTTGTTGAATCTTAATAGATAACTCACTGAGTCAGATAGCAGTTTCTGAACCCCGAAGAAAGTGACATTGGTTGCAGACACCCGTAGGTATTATTTACCATGGAGGAGTTCAACTCAGTTTTTATTTGCTGTCTGTTTCACAGCAAACAATACACCATCATTTCTTATGGTGCCGTATGGGTTACAAAAATACTGATGGCTCTTTGCTGGATGAGTCATAATCTCAAGAAGGAATGGAGGTGAGCTTTGATCTCAGTGGCCTCTGCCCTGAGTTATAATTTTCAGTGGGTCACCTTTAGGCGTGCTGTGCCATTTGTCTCATCTGGGGGACATCTGTCTCATAAGGGGGACAATAGTGCCTTTCCCTGCACAGTTCAGAAGGAGCTTTTGAAGTGCCCTTTTGGAAGCCATAGAAATCTATGATATTTATTGTCAGTGTTCCAGCCTGAACTTAAAGTCACCTCCTATCACACCTCTAGGTGTAATAATATCTCTCTCTCTATTACAACCGAGTAATGTCACACTTGGCACTTCGACTGTCCTTTTCCTAGAATATCCCCATAGCGCTCGCTAAGAGTGTTAACTGCTATTTGCCTCCTTTTTTTCTGCACCGGAGAGAGCAGAAACACACCGGGCACTGAGAGATTTCGTGTGCAGTAAATAGGCAATTCTGAACAGCGACCAGTGAAATTCCGTCATTCCCTGACCCCTGCTTCTGTGCTTTTTCTGCATCGGGTCACAAGGCTTGATAGGCATACTTAAGTATCATTTCTTTTTATCCCTTCCTTTTTCCTATTCATCAGACTTGGTTCTGCCTCGGCCACACCCATCCAGGCCAATAGCAAAGCACGCGGAAAGCAGTGCCATCAGGGAAAACAGGATGGGAGCTGAATCCTGTTTAAAGTTTTGGCTGGCGTCAGCTTGGAAGTAGGACACAAGTTAACTCACCATTACCTAGGTACTCCAAACCAAGCTCAGCTGGCAGGCCTTAGCACCCCAACTCTGCATTTGCTAAAAAGTGGAGAAAAAAGGAGCCGCGATTGCTAAGGCGATAAACAGCATGTTTCCCATCCAGTGATATTTTACATGAACTGGCACTGGTAACCGTATATCACTTACCTTCTGAATCCGTGTTTCACATCACCTCCGACTTGAGGCCAAGAACAGTACAGCTGTGCCAAAGAGTGGGTGGGAAAATAGCCTTATTGTTAACCTGCGTTGAAAACATAATGGCTTCTCGAATGTCTTCATTCGCAGACGTTGTCCACGGCTATTAATGCCCTTCCTTCAATGCGGCAGTTTAGAGTTTTCGTGTAAACCTGCTCTGTCCACGTCTGTGGGGCACCCGCACCTTGGGGAAAAGCATTAGCCCCTCGAAAATGGCTTTATCCTTTCCGTTTCCATATGGTTCGAATCCATAAGTGGGCTCTTTCTCTTGGTTAGCAGTGTGTGAGCATATACACCCATAAAGGTGTCATTTAGAGTCATTTGGACCCGTCATCCCATGGCGACCCTACAGAGCCCGCGAGTGTGGTTGGCCTCCTTGTCGAGGACAAGAAGGGATGGAGAGCGATTTCCCAAGAGCTGCTCAGCTTCTGCAGCCGCCAGTCCAGGTTTATAAACAAGCAAGTTTAGACACCCTGTTTGATAATAACTTCCATCTGCAGAGGCCCCGTTTCCACATCATCGTCGCATTTGTCCCCCCATCACGGCCCTGAGAGTACACACGGTGGGGCTGGCGTCTTGATGGTACACCAAACGGGAATCTGTGGTTGGGAGGTGGTCAGGGACTTGCCCAGCTGGGAGACGGGGGACGAAGGCCACCGCCTTGGACTCAGGCCAGTGGTCCTGCTGTTCGACCAGGCAGACGGCTTCCTCCAGGGGCCTCCCGTCGCCACGTGGGACACCTCTTTTCTCCTGCGTCAAAAAGGCTTTGTGGTTTCGGAGGCATCCACTCTCATCTCAAGTCCTGGTTCCCATGAAATGAACAGATACTGGGGTAGCAAAGCGGCCCTTATCAGGTGTCACAGGGAAAAGAGGAAACAAAAATCACTCTCTGTATTCTCCAGAATCCAGCTTGGCGTCCAGGTTGCATGATACCTCCAAGGAAGGCAGTAGTAGCATTGATCGGCCGTCTCTCAAAGAGCCACTTTTCTTTTAAACAACGCAAGGTGGAAGGACAACAGACTGGCCTCTGGACTGTCATGCTCAATGTGCTGAATAGAATCTTGCTTCTGTTTGACTGACATGGTCAGTGGCACGGTGGCGGGGGGCAACTCTTAAAGCTTTATTCCCAAGTGGGAGTCTGATACTTAGGCGCATGTGCGCAAAATCTGTTCCTGCCTGCTTTACGGGTAGATATTTTACTGCGGATTTTAATTCATGCCTTTACGAGGAAACTTCTGTATCTTTTTGATGCTGACAGTTTTATTAAGGCTATTTCTTTAGGTTTTGTTGTTATTACTCCATTAAAAATGTATTGTTGTGGCAGCTTTGAGGCGGTTGCAAAATACTCCTTTTTTTTTTTTTTTTATACACAAGCTGGATTAAAATGTACGGTAACTGTCACCTGGTAACCAGACCCCATATAACTGTGTCACCATTCGCCAGTGATTTATCGCTTTAAATGGGAGTCAGCTGGTATTTGATTCCACAGTTTTGAACTCTGCAGGGTTAATCTGGAGCCCGCTGGTACACATGAAATAGTTTTATCTGCTGTTCTAAGACTGATGAAACGTTTAAAAGATGGTTGTGTAGTCAGTCAGTTATCTCTCAGTGTTACAGCTTATTCCGCTCAGCAGTGTACAATCTCCAAAATAATTATTCTGCTGTAGTTAAAACATGGGAGCCGAATGCAGCCACTGATAAAAACTGCATTCACCAAGTCCTTTTCCAAATTGGATGGTTCTATTTTGTTATCTTCTTAGAGGGAAAACATGGGTTGTGATGGTCAGACCTCCTGGGAGCTTGAAAGCTTAGGGCAAGGCCTGGGAGACAGAACACTTAATCTATTGTCAGTGGCTTTTTCTACCTTTGACCTTTTGTTTTCAGATAAACTTGATTAGACTAGACTTCCATTCACTCATCTGGATGTAGGTAGGCTCCTTGGAAATAAGGATACTGATTCTTAGAGTTTTCTTTTGTCCTAAAAGCAGTCAAAAGATATCTAAAGTCGGGAGGATTTGAAAAAAAAAAAAAAAAATTCCAGACCGGTGTCCCCTTTTTAGCATTCTCCTTTCATCACCATGTATTGAAGAAGACCTGAAAGGGAAAGGTTATTTGGTCAGCTTCAGACCTAGCATTTTCTGCAAAGCTCACTGAAGGAAAAGCATCATAGATTTTTTTTTTCATAAGCTATGTAGTCTGTAGGGATAATAACTCTGTTTACAAAGACGTTTGCAAAAATCCATGGACAACTTATTGATGTTTCGAGGAAGACTCAAAACTCAGAATAAAATCTTTTATGTAACTGTCTGCCTATGAGATTACACAACCTGTCTTTGAACTGAAAGTAGAATGTAAGTTTTTCAGTTCAGGAGAAAAAAGAATACAATGAATTAATTGTATTTGGGGCACTTCTCATCTCGTGGCCCAAGAACAGTTTCTCTGTTGGGTAAGGAGGGGTGCCTCATGGATAGGGGTTTGTAGAGGTGGGTGAGGTATCATGTACGGTCGTATGGTTGTTGTTTTTTTTTAAAGGTGAGAGATTATCAAGGAAGAAATGTTAGTTTCCTTAGAACCCGAGAATATTGTCTCTCTGGCTCCAACCTCTTGAACTGGGGACAGTGAGAAGCCATTTGGTTAAGAAGACAGTGCAAGATGCTTCCTGTTTGCTTCTGTGATGATTTACTCTTCCTGATTCAGTTGCTCATCACCTCTTGGCTTCTTCTTTCCCTCTTGAATATATAGTTAAATCACTCCCAAACAGACTCCTGTCCCTCCAGACAAACACTTCTTCTGTTGTTACTTGAATATGGGCCCCACATTGTATTGCTACCCGGCTAGATGCGTCAGAAGTAGACGTCAGGCTTGCACGTAGCACAAGCCCGTGTATTACTGCACTGTCCAGAGTCTGCACTAGACAGATCGGGCCTGGAGAGGTGGATCGATGGGTGTGGCTCCCCTCCGGTGTGAGTACGCCTTCTCTTGAAAAATATATTTAATTACGCAGAGTCTATTTCTAGTCACAGTTAAGTGCAGGCTCTCCAGACTCCACTCAGCTTGTCTGTTAGGGGGCGGAAAACGCCATCAATATTTCAAAAGCTGCTGACAGGCAAGAAGTTAGGCTTGACGGCTGGAAATTTAGAATTTTTTTTTTTTTTTAACTCTCCCTACCATCTCTGCATGGCTTCCCTAAAGCAGTACTGAGGAAGGCTTAACATAGAGCAAGGGGTATGATGAAGTCTGATGAAGTGAAACCAGTCAGAGTGTTCAGGCTCCAGATAACCTAGATGTGCCCTGATTGGATGGCCTGCATTTCCCACCTGGGAGCTTTCCAGCACAGTCAGCGCCCAGAGACACCCTGACATCCATGTCGCGAAACTGGGTCGTGGAAGGTGCATTCCAGACAATATATTTTAGGGCAGATCTTCCAGGGACAGCTTTTGAGGGACCTTCCAGATTTCTAGTTGTGGTTGGAGACAGTGAATGATGTTCAAACGCACCCAGACTTTCCAGCTATTGCCTTGGCGGTCCTGTGAGAGGTTTGGGGGATGGGTGGAGTAAATGAATTCTTTGGGGCCACTCTAGAAGCTTTAGAAGTAGTTTGCAAGAACCCGTTAGCCTATATGATTTCCATGCTGCCTACAAACTGTTCAGGAATCGTGTTTCCGTGTAGGTATCTCTCATGTCCAACCTCACCTTCACCTCCGTTCGAAGTACTAATTTTTCTTTGTCCCTCTATCACAATGCTAAAAAACTCAAAGCATCTTCTTAGCACAAAGATACTTAGTATTCTGTATACTTCTTTAGATTCACATGAACTCTCAACCAACAGGGATAAAGAAAAGAGGTGAATTTATTAAATTTTTAAAATACCTGTTCCCTAGATTTTCGTAGGCTACACCTTGATATCGCATATATTCGGTTTTATGTGGGCATGTGCTTATTTTTGTGAATTTTTTTGGAGGGATTTAAAACAATTGCAGATCTACCTAGGCACCAAAAGGACTTGGAGACACCCATAACTCAACCCAGGAAAATGGTACAGGAGATGGCCTCCTTCCTCTGCCAACTTGGTCCAAACCCCTTGAGACCTCTCCAGGTCAGATTTCTGTACCCACCTGCACAGCAGGCCCTGCCTGGTCCCCAGACCCACTTGAGATGCTAATAGGTTGGAGAAGCAGTAGAGGGAAGGGGTGGGGGGGGGATAAACCTGAATTGCTGAATCAGCGCTTTGAGAAGTGGTAACAAAAAGAAGAGAGAAAAGATTGAAAGAGGAGACAAAAAATTAACTTGTGTTCGTGGACTAAATCTCGCCAACAAGCAGATGAAATTAGGAATCATTTAGCGATGTGGATTGAAACGTGTTAGACTTTCCTATCAAGATTACATCCTCCTGTGAATCTAGTCAATTTTGCCAAGTGGTTTGTTTAAAAAAAAAAAGTATTCTCACCACAAAGCCGTTAAATCCGGTTTAAACGCATCACTCACTTTATCCACCTGATTTTTCTATAGCTGTCCACCAACTTCTAATTTTCTGAAACCAAATTCTAAAGCACACCCACTTCGATCCTTCTGGTGTGTTTTTAGCACAGCTACTTTGGGCAGGACGCCAACAATGTGCTAAAGGTGTGGGTCGAAGAGCACTAATAACATTGTCCTTGTTTCAACTATATTTTTATATATATATATATATATATATATTTATTTTTTTTTTTTTTTTTACTGTTTGACGTTGTAGTAATCAGGAGAGGCCCAACTCCTTTAACAAATAGGCCTAAAAATGTATTAGGACTCCAAACACAGAAGTTTCCTCCTTGCTCATGTCAGGAATCCCTTCTGGGTGTTCTAGGTTGGTGGCCGCTTTCCTCCACGTGGCAATACAGGGAACCAGCCTTCTTCACCTTGTGGCTCGGCCTTCCCCTGGGTTTGTTGCTTCCGCTGCTGTTGTCGTTTGCCATGTGCATCCATCCAGAAGGAAAGGAAGGAAAATGTGGAAGACTTAGATCTGCTCTGTTAAAAGGCCTGGCCCTGAAGCAGCAAGTATCACTCCACTCACGTCCCCTTAGACTGTATGTGGTCACGTGGCAAGAAGCCAGCCCACGTGGCCTCACCCTGCCCTCTGCTGCATTCCTGGCCCCGTGGGAGGAATGGATTTGGGTGGGCAGCTGGTGGGCTTTGCCACAGGTGGTGTTTCCCAGGCTCCCCAGAGGATAAGAATCGTGGGGGACACTTGTACAAATGACCAGGTCTTGGACCTGAAAATCCTGATCCCATGGGAGGACCCTGGGTTGGTTCCAAGGAATTTATAAACAAGCGACTATGATCTTCAGGCAAGTTTGAGAAACACTGTTTTAGGATGTAATTGGATGTGGAAAGGTATTTTGTACATGTGTTGCAGTCTTAGGCTGAGAATGCCCTGTTGTAAGGAGACCCAACTCCTGCCACCCTCTAGTCTTTGGATTTAGCTACAGGCCTCGCCGCATAGACAAGATTATACAGTGACGCTCGCGTGTAATACTTATACACCTGTCCAAACCTGAATTTTTCTTCGAATTAGCCGATTGCGTCACTTAGTTGATCAAGTTCACCAGTCATTTTGACACATAGTTATTTTTATGGTTTATATCAGCTATTGGAATATATCCATTTATGACAGCTCTTTAACATATAGTTCACTGTCTAAGACTGACAAGGAAAGAACTCATCGGAGTTTTTTCCCCCTCCTGTCACAATGTTGAATCCTGTAGCAACCTACCATCATGGAAATTAAAAGCATAAATATATTTGGCGAATAGTGGTTGAATTATTTATCAGTGACCTAGGTCCAAAAATGAAGGCTGGAAGGCTGCTGCACCCAGCCTTCCAAATGTTCCAGAAGGGTGACACGAGATGTGGGGAATTCCATCGGTGCTTTCCAGGGTGCATTTGAATCCTACACTGCCTTCTCCACGCTACCCAGCAGTGATGTGGACCACATCCCTTTCGACAAAGTGGATGTGCTCGGGGAATTGAAACCGACTTTAGGATTAGTCTAGCACAGTTATTATATCCAGGAAGGGAGCTCTTCCTCTCACTAACGTAAAAAGTATTCCAGGACAGTACAGTCAATGAAAAGATATTTGCAGTGGTCACTATTTTAATTGCTTGAGTTACTGATCTGCTCATGATAGAATAATATTGAGAACTAACTACGAGACCCTTAGTGGTGGGAGAACATCTCTGGTAACTACAAAGCAGTATTATTATCATTTGTTATCTGCACAATTAGGGAGCGATAGAGTACAGCAGAGGCTTCACCCATACCAATGATCTTTGTTGCCTAGAGCCTTTTAGCTCTTTGCAGAGTGTTTTACGACATGCCTTTCTTCCTGCCCCCACCTTAATCATCGTGTGTGTTTGTCTGAAATCCAGACGAGCAGTAGCCCTTCAGTTCAAAAGGGGCTAAAGACTTGGAAATCCATCTTCATCCAGTCATCAGAGGATGGAATGGGAACCTGCGGGGTATTATTTCCTTTCTCCTTTCTTCTAAAATGTTTAACAGAAGAATAAGCGTCACTGGCAAAGACTGAGGAAAACGAAAGTTCTCAGATCAAATACGACTTGAGCGTCTGTGCCAGGGTGAGGAAGGCTGATAGACGGCGTATTATTCTTGAGCGAAGCCCAATGGCTGCGGATCAGCCAGTGTGTAGAGTTTTCCATAATCTTGAAAGCAAGGAGCTATTTCACCTTTTCCCTCTGAAGTTTTCGAGGGAGAGAGTCTCTGGCGAAGAAGATGAGTCTTCTCTCTACCTGCTAACGAATGAGCAGTTAACTCTGCTGCTAAATACTAAACACGCCAAGCGCAGGGACCGTGTATTGTATTTTTCTTGTATCTGTCACCAGTTAATACTTAATTTCCTGAGAAATGGAAAGCCACGCTTGCTGTTTATCTGGGTTGACATTTAGAGCAATGAGGAAGCACGGGGTTCTTTTTTTAAAAAAAAAACAAAACACCTTTTTTTTTTTAAGTATAGTTGATTTACACTGTTGTGTTATTTTCAGGTGTACAGCAAAGTGATTCAGTTATACACACACACACACACACACACACATTCTTTTTCAGATTCTTTTCCATTATAGGTTACTACAAGATATTGAATATAATTCCCTGTGCCATACAGTAGGTGCTTGCTGTTTATTATATA